TTGCTTTGAAAGATAAAGTGATTTTAAGAAGGAAAGAGAATGAAGAAAAGGTATCCGCCCACGTAATGAGATTCTGAAGGAGATTAGGTAAGTTAGTATTTTTAATTATTTTTATGCATTGTGAAATGTAAGGTGAAAGGAATTTGGTATTAATTGGAAAATTGTTATAGCAATGATTTAGTTTAAAGTAATTAGGATTGTAAGGTAATTTTTATTAATTTAATGTATGTGCTCATGTATATTTTAAGTGGTGTTTTTTGAATTTAATTATATTTAATGAAATGATAGTTATTTTGTGAATTTTATACTTGTAGGAATTTGGTGTTGTTTAAGTTGAATAAATGTGCATGGAAATAATTTAAATATTTGATACTAAATATTTGTATGCTTCATGTATGAATTCGTTGGTGACGTGTATAATTAATGATGATTTAGAGGTAAAAGTTTTTGGATTTTATTTATTTTATATGTGGAAATGTTCATATTTGTAAAGGGTAATACTTTTTCGCGATCAGGTAATTTCATATAGGTTCTTTTACCGGGTTTTAAAGATTGAGAAATTGTCATGTATTTTCGTGAAATTTTTCGAATTAGAGAAAAAGCAGTGTACATGGATTATAGTGAAGAGTGTGCGCAATGCCATTTTTGTGCAATTCTGGGATGTTTTTTAAGTAAAAAATAAGTCGGCGTGTACATGGTTTATGTGTATGTGTTATTTAAAAACGTGTAAGGTGTATGTATTGTGCACTTTTTCCGATTTTTGCAGTGAATATTTGTCATGATTAAGCAGTTTTGTTTGATAAAATTTCTAGCATAAGTGTAATTCGGCTAGTAGATTGTTGGAAGAAGTGTCAGTAGATAAGAAGAAAAGAAACATGTGTTTACTTCGTGAAGACAAAATGGCGGCGGGGAAAAAAAAAATAGAGCGTTGCTGTAGGGGAGTTGGTCGCCAAATTTTCGCCAAAAAATCGCCAAGTTACCGTAATGTAAAGATCAACCGATTACATAATAATTATATATATGATTAAGTTGGCAATAACAATTATTTTAAAGTTAGATAAATAAATTTGAAAAGGGTTTAAGCAAACATCTGCAATTAAGTACTTTTTTCCTTGCAATGCCCTTAAATACCCTATTTTTTTTATTTTAATTATGATGTTTTATTTTATAAGACAAATAACAAGATGGTAAAATAATTCTTAAATATTGATTATAAATTGCTATGATAATAAAAATTGCTTTTCACCGATTTTTGAACTTTTTCAGTTTTCTTTCCTCATTTCTTTCAAGGGACTTTTAAAGAAATGTTTTTTACATAATTGTTCAAACAATATTAGAAAAGTCTTGACGACACTCATGATTATTATTTCATATGGCAAATGACATTCACAGCATCTCTCACTAAAAACACATTACATCATTCATTTTGAGCTGAGCCTCAGTTATTTTTGTAAGAAGCTGGTGTTGTTTTCCATTGATGTGGATAAATGCTTCTCATATTTTTCCGATATAATAGTTTGGAAAAGTAAATATACAGTTGATATCAACAACACCATATTTTCTGTCGGGTATTTTAAACCTCCTCGGTTTACAATATCAATATATGCATAATTTGTTTCCGCTAATGTACCATCACAAGTTTCGACTAATAATTCTTTGTCCAAGACGCAGAAATCTATGCAAGCACTGCAGTTAGGGTTGATCTTTACATTATGGTAACTTGGCGTTTTTTTGGCGGAAATTTGCCGACCAACTCTCCTACAGCAAACCCCTATATTTTTTTTCCCGCCGCCCATTTTGTCTTCACGAAAGTAAAGACATGTTTCATTTCTTTTTATCTACTGAACACTTCTTCCAACAATCTACTAGCCGAAATACACTTATGCTAGAAATTTTATCAAACAAAACTGCTTAATCATGACAAATATTCACTGCAAAATTGGGAAAAAGGAACAATACCATACTCCTTACGCGTTTTTTCAAAATACACATACACATAAACCATGTACAGCCGACTTATTTTTCTTAAAAAAAACATCCCAGAATTACACAAAAATGCCATTGCGCACACTCTTCACTATACCATGTACACTGCTTTTTTCTCATAAATTACAGAAATTTCACGAAAATACATGACAATTTTCTGAATCTTTAAACTCGGTAAAAGAACATATATGAAATTACATGATCGCGAAAACGTTTATACCCTTTCCAAATATGAACATTTCCACATATAAAATAAATAAAATATCCAAAAACTTTTACCTCTAAATCATCTATTACATTATACACGTCACCAACAAATTCATACCGCAAGCATTACAAATACTTAGTATCAAATATTTAAATTATTTTCATGCACGTTTACTTCAACTTAAACGTATACCAAATTCCTACAAACATAAAATTCACAAAATAACTATCATTTCATTAAAATATAATTAAATTCAAAACACTACTTAAAATATAAATGGAGCACATACATTAAATTAATAAAATTACCTTACCATCCTAATTACTTTAAAATAAATCATTGCTAATAACAATTTTCCCAATAATACCAAATTCCTTACTTCCACCTTACATTTAGAACAATGCCATAAAAATAATATGCACAAATAATTAAAATACTAACTTACCTAATCTTCTTCAGAATCTTGATTACGTGTCGATAAACTTTTCTTTAGTTACGGCCATAGGATCCAAAATTCACGAACACTGTTCACAACACAGAATAAACCAAATACAAAAATTTCCAGATTTTTTCCCGATTTCGCCCCTTTTCCGATTAAAGAACCGTAATTCGTTCATTAATATCACATGACATGATCTCTCATTTCCCTCACACAAAATAATGCGTAATCGGAACTGTGTACTGCTCACATTATTACCAAAGTCCCAGGTAGTAACCTTTATCGCCTCCAAAATGTCGCCAAACTACCAGTTACCATATTGTAAAGATCAACCACAAATTCATACCGCAAGCATTACAAATACTTACTATCAAATATTTAAATTATTTTCATGCACGTTTACTTCAACTTAAACGTATACCAAATTCCTACAAACATAAAATTCACAAAATAACTATCATTTCATTAAAATATAATTAAATTCAAAAACACTACTTAAAATATAAATGAGCACATACATTAAATTAATAAACATTACCTTACAATCCTAATTACTTTAAACTAAATCATTGCTAATAAGAATTTCCCAATAATACCAAATTCCTTACTTCCACCTTACATTTAGAACATTGCATAAAAATAATATCCACAAATAATTAAAAATATACTTACCTAATCTTCTTCAGAATCTTGATTACGTGTCCGATAAACTTTTCTTTAGTTACGGCCATAGGATCCAAAAATTCACGAACACTGTTTCACACAACACAGAATAAACCAAATACAAAATTTCCAGATTTTTTCCCGATTTCCCCCCTTTTCCGATTAAAGAACCGTAATTCGTTCATTAATATCACATGACATGATCTCTCATTTCCCTCACACAAAATAATGCGTAATCGGAACTGTATACTGCTCACATTATTACCAAAGTCCCAGGTAGTAACCTTTATCGCCTCCAAAATGTCGCCAAACTACCAGTTACCATATTGTAAAGATCAACCGCAGTTAGTTTTAATATTTCTTGTGCAGTAACCAGCAATGTATGTTAGAACTTCTGCATCAATGTCTGAAACTGCAGCCAATTCTACACCATTGCAAATAATTTCATTAAAAGGTGTAAGATCAACATCTTTACTCATTTCTTTAATGTCTGAAAATTCTGCAACAAACTGTTTTAAAGAGATGTTACCATATGAATTAGAATGAAGATGAAGAATGGACTTCAATTTAATTTTTCTTTCAGACTCCAGAATTTGCTGAACTGAAACATGGTAATTTCCTCCAGACATCTGACAATATTGCGAAAATCTGTATTCCAATTTATCAGTCTGAAATTTGGAAGTTAAAATAAATTTTGAGCTATTTACTAAAAGCTCTTTAATTACATCGATGATTGCATTTGTTGTCTGATAAAGAGCAAAATAAGTTTCCTCGCTTAAACATCCGCAACGAGACTGTTGCTTCATGTTTTTCCACTGCTCAAGCCAACAACAGAATTTTTCCAAAAACCTAAATCTTTTATCATCAGGTGCAGTAAATGCTTTGCTGTCTTCACATTTTATATAAAGGCTTTTGTTTAGGTGGCTCACATTCATAATGTTCCACCATTTTCTGATAATTTGCAAAAATTTTACCGTATCCTGCCAATTATCAATGCAGTGTTTCTTTCCCAATAATTGAAGAGCAGCATCATTACTCTCATGAAAAATATTTACAGCAAACTTCACATTTTGTTTTCTAAACTTGAAGGATATAAACTTTTGAATGAAAGTTTATGGCCCATTTTCACAATTGAGGTCTTCTCCTTATGATATATATTCCTTAGATGTGTGAAAATTTAGGAATTATACATTTTGATGGATCATCAAAATCAGGACAAAAATTTTTCAACAAAATGTTTTTGGGTGTCTAACTGATTAATCCAATTATTTCTTATTGATTTCAAAAGGTGTACTGAATCAAAAAGTAAGAATAATTTTTTCTCGTTATTTGCAGGGTTGCAGACATGAGTTGACATTTGTTTATGACCTAACTTCTGAAACATGTTCCTGTTTATTCTGTTGTTATCAGAAATCATCGAAACAACTGAAAATCCTGCTTCATTCAGAATATGAAGAGCTTTGCGGGTCAGGCAGCATAAATAATCTGCATTCATATTATTAACAGGAACTAAGGCAACAGTTTTCTTTATAAGATGAATAAATAGAGCTTATCATGAAAGCTTTGTAGAGTTGTAGCTTCAGTATCGGATTTATTTTCTGCAAAACCTGATATTGATTTCCCTTTATAAGCGATTGATTTCTTTACATAGATTTCATCAATTAGTAGATTTACAATTCTATTTTCATCGTTCAATTTGTTGAATTTTTCACTCATGTACTTTTTTGTATTCTCATTTTGTAACGAATTGTCGAGATTCAGAATGCTTGTAATTTTACCTAAATGATCGGTTGATGGCATTGACAATAAACCGCTGTCGTACAACAAAGAATAACATGATGAGGACTTCATGTATAAAGAATATGCAAAAATTAAAAGTTCACTGCTGTACCTTCGAGCCATTTTAGATTTATCACACAAGTTCATTTGCTCTAATATGAACTTTTTATTGTCATACACATCTTCATCAGAAGAAATGCATTTTTTCCAATGATACACAGACTTTTCTTTTTCACTAGGAAGCACTTCATTTAAGTCATCTTTCTGCATATTTTTAATGAAACTTAAAATATTTTCCAGTTCACTCCATCGTAAAAGATTATCTGGGTTATTTAGAATAATTTTGAAGTGAGATACAGGAACAGAAATATCACCAAAAAAAACATTTAAACTCATATCATTATTGATTTTTATGCTTGAAAGTACCCTTGGTGCTGACAATAAATTTAAATTAATTAAAAATACATGATCACTGTTTTTTATTACAATTGGTTTTGAAATTAAATTGAACGAATTTACCCGTAGATCCAATTGTTCACAAAAATCAATAAAACTTTTGATTCGGTCTTTATCTAAAAATTGCTGAAATGCAATTCCATCTGATTTTGCAAGTTTTTCAGATCTACTTGTTCTTGGAGTAGGTTTGTTTTCCGTCAGGTATTTTGGGCAATTAGGAAATATAGACGGATAAGCATCTTCCTTCAGTTTTGGACATTTTCTTGGCACTTTTAAGATAGTACCATCTCTGTCTGATATTTCGTCAATTCTTATAATATCCGATTGAATGAAATGTTTTTCACACACAAGACTTCTTGCAGATGGCGACCAGTTTCTTCATGGAATCTTCTTGCACCATATACTTTTCTTTTCAACGTCTTTTGGAAATTTAAAAACAGAAACGTACGTTCCAGCTTTGTCATAATTTGACTGGCATCCTGGGACACAGCATCGATCTGGCATTATAAATAATATAAAATAAAACGGTTTAAAAAATATTCGTTATTAACGAGAAACACTAAATATTTACGCTACTCCAACGGCACACATCCATTCTCACACTCAAACATTATAGAAGCGTCTACGGAGAGAAGGCAACTTTTGGGATCATGAATCTGATCCTCCCGTCTTACGCGCATCTCAGTTTGCGCATCATGTGACGTTAACAGATACGTCAAAAATGTGTCTGTTTACATTTTGCATTTGACTTCGTGCGTTTTATGCTGCGTTAGTATGTGAATTTTGCTTTCACATATTTATAATGAACTGAAGAATCTCTCAATAAAAGACCCTTCTCACGGCCAAATACTTAGGAATATTGTGAGGATTCTGCTTCAGAATATTAGAATATATAGCACCAATTTAAATGAGCTGGGTGGTGATATCAATGATCATTCAAGACAATAGATCTGAAATTCACATTTCCGCTTTGATTACGATTGGTAACATCTTTCAGAAAACTGTAATTTCAAAATCTTACAACTGTTCTATTTGCAAAAAGTGTTTTTCAAATGCCAGCAATTTATAGCATCATTTGAAGAACATACATTCCAATAAAAAGCATATTTCTACTGCTGAAATATTTAATTCCAATTCAGATCATGCATTTTATAAAGTCGTCAATGGTAATTCGATTTCATATACTTTTGCTTCAAAATCCAGTATAACTTCAAAAAAGTTTTAGCTGCCCTGATTCCAAAAAAATGTTTCTCAAGTAACAGCAATCTAAAATGTCACTGCATGAAATTGCATATATCACAACAAACAACATTACTCAAAGCAAGTAAAAATAAAGTTTTCCAATTTAAATGCAGTTTATATAGTCGTCAGTTCAACAATAATAAAAATTTATTATTTTCACAATCAGATAGTGCATTTACTGCCCTTGAGTGTTCATCATTAAAAAATTATATAAATGCACATTATGTAATGAAGGTTTTCCAAAGGAAAACTTTTCATTACATTTGCAAATGGAACATGAAATAGTCATTGAAAAAGAAGAGAGAGATTTCTCTGTGTTTAATGATTTCATGTTGTGAAAGGAGAATTTTGAAATGGAAACATAATCTAAATTTTTTTAACTTACAAAGAAACATGACCCATTACATGTAAAAGATATTTATTTTGTATGCCATCATTCAGGACATTATTTTATATCTAAAGTGCAAGGCATGGGACATTTAAAAATACAAGGGAGTAACAAAATTAATGCTTATTGCCCAGTAAGCCAGTTTAATAATGGAAAATGTACTGCTTATATATAGAAAAACCCATTGTAAGTCATAGAAAGGGTATAGGGCATCTGTCTCTTACAAAATTAGAACGGCAGTTATACCATTCTAATGTTAATTTATGTAACTTAAATTGCTGGAAAAGTATCTTTTGATGAAATTTTAGATAAAATTCAAGATTCTGTATATGATACTGCATCTTTTGACAAAGAAAGAATGATTTATGGAATATTGAAAATTCGGTACTCTTCCGTTATCAGAACCAGAATCAGAAATGTATGCATGTATGGCTGGATGGATGTGTTCATGTATGCATATATATGTGTACATATGAATGTATACATTTCTGAATCTGGTCCCAGTAACAGAAGTGTACCGAAAATTCTTATAATCCACAATCAAATGCTGTAAGGCATAAAAATGATTGTATAAATGTTAATGAAATGCCTGGGGTTAATGAAATTACTAGTGAGGATAACAACTCTATTTTATTTTATAAGCCTTAAAATAGAATTTTAGAAAGTTATCCTGAATTTTAAAATGATGATTTCACATTAATGAAAATGAATGACTCCCAGAGGCACTTTCTTCAGAAGTTGGGATCAGACTATATATGTATAAATGGTACACATAGGTTGAACGGTTACAGAATTGAATTAATCACACTGCTTTTACTTGATGCTTTGCTTCACGGCTTTCCCTGTGCATTTATTATTACAAACAGAACTGAGCAGGAAGTTTTGTCTGTTTTCTTTGCACATCTGAAAGATAAAGTATGTCAGTTAACACCCGAAGTATTTATGAATATGAATACAAGCTAGTTTTGGCTCACCAGCGGCCGAACGGTAAAGTCACTGAACGCTGGTAGTTTGGTCCGAGGTTCAAGTCCCTCAAACGGGCTGTCTGCATGGGCATTTCCATGTTTTTCCCCATGTGTAATGTGTATACGAGCCAGTTTCCCTTAGAATGTCCTCCACAAAGGCATCCCTCCCCTTAGGCAGATGGCCATCAAGTGCTTTGCCATAATAAAATAAACCAAACCAACAAACTAGTTTTGATTAAAAAGTCTTCCATGAAGGTATTTCTTCCCCCACATGATCTTTGCCATATTCCAGTTCCAACAATCAAATCAACACATTGTTATTTAACTACTTAATTTGAAGATTTTTGGGCCCACCAGCGGCCGAGCGAGCGATAAAGTCGCTGAACACTAGTAGTTCGGTCTGAAGTTCGAATCCCGTGAACGGGCTGGCTGCATGGGCGTTTTCGTGGTTTTCCCCATGTGTAACGTGTATAGGAGCCAGTTTTCCATAGAAAGTCCTCCACGAAGGCATCCCTCCTCTTAGGCAGATAGCCCTCGAGGCTTTGCCATAATCACACGCACACATTTTGAAGATTTTATAGCAGATTATGAAATATACAATATTATATTGATGCAAAAATATATTTTTTACTCAATTCTGGAGGAGGGGGCAAGTGTTCATTTTCCCGTTTCCTGCAGATTCCTACAGTCTAGCATTTTCAAACCTAAAACATGATAACCCTAAGTAACATATCACCATCATTGGTACGCATTAGAGCAAACAGATCACTAGAATTTGCATATCTTCTATGTCTATTTGCTTCAATATTAAATCAAAGTCTGTAATAGTTAATGTGAAAGGCTTGAAATAAAGCAGTATGCATGATTGTTTAGAGCTCATATTAGCAATATCATTATTGTTTAGAGCCTGTTCTCTGGAAGTAATTTACAGACTTGCTGGGAATTTTATTAAAAATGATATACTTTTCTGTAGTAGTTGCTGCATAAAAAGTAAAAGCCGTGTGTTGGCCATCCCTGGTGTAGGACGGTAAGGATAAAAATTGCCTTTCTCTCGACATGTTGCAATGCAGTGAATATAACTGAGCTTTAACTTCAAATATCTTGAGTTATACTTTGTGCAGCAAATGAATGACATATGTGTTATCCCTGTTTCATTCTTACTTTTAAGCAATTCTACTGCAGAACGTAGCTTGAGAGTTATACACCAGAAATATGAAATACTTGTCAGCTGGACTAACACCACAGATTTACACCAGTGGACAGGGCCGTCCCTAGGCCATTGGCTGCCTGTGTACTTTCCTAAGAATACAGTGCCCAAATTTAAAAAAAAAAATTCTTAATGATTAGTTGAATTTTTATTTCATACTCACTAAGTACTTATATGTGACAAATTGTATAAAAAGTATTTACATGTGACAAGTACAATGAATTAAAAATATTTAGTCGTGGTATCGCGAGTGTTCAGCTGTTGCATAATTTTACAGCTGCACCGCGCTAGGAACGGCCCCGACAGTGGAAGATAACCATGTTCAAATCATGACAAAATTACTTTGGCAACAACACAATCAACTGGCTATTAAATTGCTGGTGAAGGTTACTTATCAAGTTCCTATAATTAATAAATATCCTTATTCAGGACTTAATTTCTAAACTTAGAAGTGCCAGAACCCTATGCTAAACTGTCAGCAAAGGGGAAGAAAAGTAAATAAATAAATAAAATGACTGTTACAATCATTAATAATTTAAAAATTAAATAGTTAATTAATACCAAATTAATTCATTATTATTTAATTAATATTAATAAGTATCAATTATTTTTAATTAATGATTGTTATTTAATTAAATAAATTATTAAAGTAATTAAAATTAAGTAAAATGTAAAGAGATAAATTAAAATTTAATAAGCGATTTGTAATACAGTTTTACTGCAAAAAATTAAATGTTTGAGATCAAATTTTTGTTCAGTTGCATAAAAGAAGTGCCGGAGCCTTCTTATTTAGGGCTCCGGCTATATTTATGATTTATTCCAAAAACTAAGAAGTACCGGAGCCAGGCTCCGGTGCAATTTAAGCTCTGTCTCTATTAACTTTTTAATAAACTTACACATTTAGTCATTATGAATATCTTAAACTTCCATTAAGTTATAAGGTTATTCTTGGTCTAATAATGGAATTTTAGTCTTATAACCCTAATATAATTATCACTTGAGATATTATGAC